CAAAAGGAGGAGTGGGCGAGTAAAAATGGGCACAGCAGGTGAGAAAGAGCTCCAAGGAAATGGAAAACTGGGAGAGGAACACCAGGTCAAGCGTGAAAAAAACAAAATCTGTAAATGAATGGAGAGGTCAAGAGAGACATTAGTTGGTCATTGAGAGCTGAGGGAAGGTGTGATCATTTTTCTCTGAACATTTTAATTTGGGTTGCAGGAGATCAGTGTCTGGACAGCAGTTTTCACTTACATGACTGGTGTTGTTTTCAGACAGTTGAGGTGTGAAACAATCACTCCAGGTTGCCAGGTTTGTTTACAGGTGAATTTGCATTTTTCCAGTTCTTTGTTTGGGAATCCTGTGCCCTGCTGGTGCTTTGTTGTTGAAGAACACTTAGGCTTGTAATATCTTTGTGTAATGAGGTTTGGAACCCTATAAAAGCACAGCGTAGTCCTGGCTGAAAAATGGAGGTGAAATGGAGAACTTTGGTACTGGAAAGGTCTCTGATTTTCACTATGCTGATATGTTCCCTAAAATGGTGTGCCAGTCTTTCATCTGTCTTCCCAGTTTTAATGACACTATCAGCAAAAGCTGTAATAAATACAATTGCCAGACAAATGGGATGCTCTCAGTGATTATGAACACAACAAAGTTGGAAAGGGTGTGAGAAAAGGAGGATTTGTGGTATGTTTTGGGATGTTTTCTTATAATAAGAAGTTTTCAGTAGTAAATAGCTGTCAGCCCAATCACACTGCAACTTACAACTAGCAACCCACTGAAGCTCAGCAGGTGTGAGCCTGGTCAGTACCTGGATGGGAGACCTCCTGAGAAAAACTAAGGTTGCTGCTGGAAGAGGTATTAGTGGGGCCAGCGGGGGGTGCTCACCCTGTGGTCTATGTGGGTTCTAATGGCCCAGTATAGTGAGAGGGACATGATAATATTAAAAGGCACTGTCCTTATGATGAGATTTAAAAGCAAGGTCCTGAATCTCTGTGGTCATTAAAAATCCCAGGGCATTTCTTGAAAAGAGTAGTGGGGCTGCACATTGGTGGTGGTGGAGGGGAGTCTCCGTTACCTGTAAAGCGCTCTAACTGGAGAAAAAGCACTATTTAAGTGTAAGGTATTGTTATTATTAAATAAACTTATGTCGAAGAACAAAAGGCAGAGCATGTGTTTTATTGTTATTCTACATGCCAGCCTGTAGCAACAGATGGTATATGTTTGCTTTAAAAGTTAAGTGTGGGAAGGTTTAGGAAAGAAATCTAATAGATCCTAGAACCTTCTGCTGTGTCAGCCACGTCACATCTAAGGCTCGGTTCGTAAAGAAGTAACTCCTGTTTCTAGCCCTAATTTCACTCAGAGCTCTGTGTCCTCATTTCATCTCTGAGCTGCCTTTGTTAACACCTTTCAGTCTCACAACCTAATTGTTCAAGCCTAAACAGAATCTATTCCTTTGATCTACGTTAGGTAATATTCCTTTGAGGCTACTGTCTTGTCGCTCTTCTTTAAAGTCATTCCACAACAATATTCTAAATATACAGTATATACTTTATATGATAAATGTATATAATTATCATTGTTTCACAAGCTTAAATTTTTTGGTCTATCACAGCAAATCTAAAAACTCTAATGGCCTTACCCCTGTAACTTCTGGTTGAATCGTATAGTAAAAACAATCACCTTTAAACAGCAGATATTTAAATACCTGAGTCTTTCCATACATTTCTTCTTTTTCATTTGCATATTGTAATTAACTGCTGGCTGCCCTTTCTTACACAGATGATTAGCAACAAAGAAGCGGTATTTTCAAAGGTATGCTTGACACGCATTTACCATACTTCTCATGGGTTCCAGAGAAACTCTTTAGGTGGAATCTTAAAGAGCCCTTCAATTACTCAATTAGGTAAATACTCAGTTGTGCCTTTCACTATGAATTCTTCAGATCTAATGAAAAAATACATAGTACCATGAATGACCCAAGTTCATTTGGGAATCTCCTTCATAACCCTAACCTTCATTTTTTTTTACACTAGTGATATGAATGCCTTTGAAAGCCCCTAAACAGAGTTCACCTTGAACACTAAATGGCCAAATTAAGTGGTGCAGGCTCAATTGAAGCTGGGGATCTATCTGCTCTTTTCCACCAAGCATCTCTTAGATTGTGTGATCCATGACCACTATTTTTAGTTTTACCTCTGAATGTATGGGGTCCTCAAGTCCAGGTTTGCAAGTTTCCATTGCTGCTCACGTTTTATTATTTTCCACTTCAAAAAAAAAATACACTTGATCACCCCCCAAAAAAAGATATATTTCTACATTTTAACATGAAGCCTCCTTCTATAAAAGTGTCTTTCTGCGGGTCGTGTCAAGTGATCAAACATGTGAATTGATGACGGGTAGCAAGCAAGGAGCTTCTGAATGAAAAAAAAGATGGATGAAGACAATAAATGTGAAGACACATAAGCTGCCATGACCAATATAATTGTGCCCTTCTGTGGGACAAAATGTTTTCTCTATTTTGAACCAAATACCAGTAAAAGGGATGAATGGGTAGAATTTTGAAAGCATCTGTCATGTAAAAAAGAGCTTGCTAAGCCTGCAAGCCAGCTGTGCTGCCTTTACTTAAGGGGATGGCCTTATCTGTTGTTGTGTAATGCAATTAAATGACCCTTCAGGGATTAAGCTATTTAAGCTTGGAGTGTTCATGTTTTAAACCTAGCAAATGAAGGTTTGTATTACTTAAGCGAAGGCATTAACCCACGGTGATGAGAACAATTCAATGAAATGCAGCAAGGAAAGTTGATTAGCTATGACCTCGTTAAAGAGAATGCCAGCCTCTGTTCCTCAATGTGCCTGGTGTCATAGTGTAAGGACCCCCAGCAGTGTTCCATCCCAACACTGGACTTCAAGCGCAGAGCGCTCTGCTGCTTGTGTGCAGCTCACAAAATTTGTTGTAGTTGTTGTGCATGTTCAGAGTGAAGTGTGGTAAAACACAGTGAAATCATGGTAAAATCATAAAAGCTTTAGATTCTACTGTTCCGTGAAATGTTTTGTCCCAGTGGTACATTTCAAACTTTTGCCCAGCTGTGTAGCTGTATTTGCAGATTTGGTTGGAGTGTGTTTCACATACTTTTTAAAAGTCCCTTCCTCCTCTGCCTATCATACTGCAGATACTATTTTACATCATGTCCAGAAGATGGAGCTATTAATATTATCATAAAACCTTTACATATCTCACTAAAAGCTAGACCTGTCCTACAGGGAACTAATAATGCTGTCTGTGTAAACCAAATGCAGAACATACTGTATGTTTTTATGAGAGGACAATGTTTTCTGTGCTTCAGTCTCTAATGATGGAAAATAATGATAGAAAAACACATTTGTCTTTGGTTCATTCATTAAAATGGAACTGTTACTGAAAAATAAGATTTCAGTGACCAACACTGTAAAACAGATTTATGTAAAGAAAATTAGTCACTGTACAATGAATGACAAACTTTTAAAAATATCAAACAGTAAAATTAGTACAAAGCAACAGTTAAAATCTTTTGAAAATGCTGTGCGCATCTTCCACAATGAAGAATAGTTTATTCATTAGAATACTATTTCTAACACTTATCATGATACCCCATTATTGGAATATTAAATATAGACAAAAGGGACTCTAAATGGCACAGTGCATATGAAGATAACCAAATTAAATACAAAAATGTTTTTGCAAGCAAATTGCACTCTGGTTCTTTGTTATTGTAAAACAAGCCACCAAATATGAATGTTTCTGGCTTTCATAAAGGGAGTGGATCCATGATTTATCCCCTTTAACAAAATATTGACTGGAATTTCTTTCAATGGCTTAATTTCTTCTTTGGTGACAAAAGGTGTCAGACTTTTAATTAAAACTCTTCCAAGGCTTTACTGGTGACTACCTTTGTCACAGAATTGTGGTCTCAATACTCAATAGCAATTCTTTACTGTCCTGCTCATTATGATACTTTATTGAGCTCTTGTAGTATTCTACCTTTCTGTATTTTCTGCACTATCACATAATGATCATTTCAAATAAAATCATTTCAAATTAATGATCATTTCAAATAAAGAGCACTTTGCTTAACGTTGTTAGCTAATAAGAATGGCCAGCCTTCATCGTCACCTCATTAATCAGCATGAGGAAACACTTCATTGTTTAAGTCTCGACCCAGCTGATCTTTGTGAGATCACATCAGCAGTTACGATTAGTTTATCGATTTCCGTAGATTTATTTTTACCTGGAATGCCATGGTTAGTTTAGTCGGAGGAAGTAAGACTGAACGCAAAGAATTCTTCGTAGGAGCCATTTAATCGTTGTAAACAATTTAAATACCTCGATTCATGAACTGACACTATTAATGCCGTATAAAACCTACGGACATTGCGCGAATAACTATAATTACGCGTGAATGTACGGCGAACCGGTGATGATACATAAACAAGCCCGTTTATCAGTCATCAAACATACAGGAAATAATTGTATCCAATATAATTACTGGTATAATCTTTCGATAAATACATTTTTAGTACCAGTACAAAGATAATGATTAATGTTTGCATTTAACGCGGCTCTTATTACATCTTTCGAGCACAAATACATAATGATTTCGCAGTGTACAAATGATTTCGCAGTGTAATAAAAGCGCATAAGAAGGATACTTTGCTACACAGTCTTTATCATTAACTGTATTTGGAAGAATTTGCATTTACAAAAATAAAAGGCTGTAGATCAACTCTTTAAAATCAAATTGGTTAGAAATAACAAGACAAGACGATTATGAGCTAAATAAAGTTTTGAATTTACAAAACGTGAACCCGAGAAAATGCCTTGTTTACGTCTACAAGCTCTCCCTACGTCACACATAGTTTAAAGGAACTAGGCCAAGGACCGTCCGCTGCCGGATTGGCCACTACCACATTCAACTCAACCACGCTGCACACCGATTGGTCCACAGTGGGTAGTTTAATATGGACGCAACTGAGATCAACCTCATGATTGGATAATTAGAAATGCCAATCAGACACGGAACGCCTCCACAACCACCCTCCAAAAAAAACGCAACCTCTCATTATTTGATTGGTTTGCTGAATTGACGTAACAGTACAACCTCTCGCATCTATTGGCTTATAGCGACGTCAATCATACTAACATTCTGCTGATCCCCGATTGAAATGCTGGGATTTCACCCCCTCCCTCCTTAGTCGTGGCTGACGCAATGGTCACGTGTTGTTTTCGCTGTGGTCCGTGGAGCTGTGTACTGTGTGAGAGAGATTGATTATAGAAACGAGTGAATGCGGTTATGTAGCAATTGGCTGAATTTCTGTGCCTGCTGTCTGTGGTGGATATATATCGAGCAAGGAACGAGCGGAGAGCATCATTTTTTTGGAAAAACGAAATTGAGCCGGACTCAGAATTTGGCACCCGAGATGGGGTCTGTATCAGTAAAGCTAAGGTAAAGTGACCTTTATTCGTATTCTCTCATGGCAAATTTGGTAGATTGTCGAGAAAACAACGCCGCTATGTTGCTGTTGGAAACACAACAGCGCGCAATTGGGTCGAAAACAACAGTCACAACAAACGGCGACACCTCTGTCGGGGAAATCCCTTCATCTTTAATTAATATTGGCAACGTGCAATACCAGCAGCACCTGCCGCTCTCGTTTCACCACAGCTCACAGCAGGCGCAGCAACAGTATTCGGAGGAAAACCTCCAGGACGAACTGCTGAGAAAACCTTCCCTGTCCCTCGTACAGGAAGAAGTCGCTGTCGGCACTACAGCTGCCCCTGTGGCAGCTGCTGCTGGTGCCGCCGCCAGGAGCGACGGGCTGGACGACGTGAGGAAATGCGGCTACTTGAGAAAGCAAAAGCACGGTCACAAGCGGTTCTTCGTGCTGAGAGGCCAGAGCCACCTGGGCCCCAGCAGGCTGGAATACTATGACAGCGAAAAGAAATTCCGCAACAGCACAAGATCCACCGCCACCGCCTGCCCCCCGAAACGAGTGATCCCGCTATACCAGTGCTTCACTGTAAACAAGAGGGCTGATGCCAAGAGCAAGCACCTCATTGCCCTGTACACGAAAGACGAGTATTTCGCAATGGTGGCTGAGAATGAGCAGGATCAGGAGGACTGGTACGCCGCTATAAGCGACTTGATGAATGAGGGAAAGAGAGGGCACCTGGACTCGGAGGAGTTGGACGACGGGTATGGCACCGTCACTCCTGGCACTGTTTTCAAAGAAGTGTGGCAGGTGAATGTGAAACCCAAGGGGCTGGGGCAGACCAAGAACTTAACCGGCGTGTACCGCCTGTGCCTCTCCAGCAAGAGCATTCACCTCGTGAAGCTGAACTCGGAGACGCCCTGCGTGAACCTGCAGCTCATGAACATCCGGCGCTGCGGCCACTCGGAGAGCTTCTTCTTCATCGAAGTGGGGCGCTCTTCCTCCATTGGCCCCGGGGAGATCTGGATGCAGGTGGACGACTCGGTGGTGGCCCAGAACATGCACGAGACCATCTTGGAGACCATGAAGGCCCTCAAGGCCTTTGCCGAGTTCCGGCCCCGGAGCAAGAGCCAGTCCTCCAGCTCCAATCCGCTGGCCTTCATCACCACCCGCAGACACCTGGGGAACCTGCCCCCCAGCCAGACGGGGCTGCAGCGCCGCTCGCGGACGGAGACCATCGTGGGCACCCCCCCTGCCAGCAAGAGTGGGGGCTACCGTTTCCGGACCTCCAGTGAGGGGGAGGGCACCATGAGCAGGCCCTTCCGCTCCGTCACGGGCAGCCTCATTCACCTCAACGCGGCCCGCATGAACCTCGGCAGGCAGGAGGGTGGCGGGGGCCGCTACGTGCGGGCCGCAGCGGGGGCTCCCTGCCACATGCGCTCGGCCTCCTTGCCCGTCTCCCACTTCCCTTCCACCACCAGCCCCGTCAGCGTGTCCTCCAGCAGCGGGCACGGTTCGGCCTCCGACACGCTGACCCGGCCCTCGAGCGCCTCCATCTGCGGCTCGCCTAGCGATGGGGGGTTCAACTCCTCCGACGAGTATGGCTCCAGCCCCGGGGACTTCCGCTACTTCCGGGTGAGGAGCAACACCCCCGATTCTCTGGGCAACACGCCGCCCATCCGGGAGGAGAACAGCCTCAATGACTACATGGCAATGGACCGACACCGAGAGGGCCTGGGCTGTTCTGAGGGCCCCAGGGAGGACTGCGTAGAGGTGGACAAGGGCTTCCGGAAGCAGGCTCACTCCCTCTCCAGGCCGGGCAGCAGCAGTGGCGTTGCAGTGTATCAGAAAATGACCCAGACTACCTCGTCGTTGGATGAGCCCTGTGCGGAGGCCAGCCTGGTGGGAAGCAGTGGCCACCGGGCCTGCTCCGTTTCCCCCAAGTCAGGCTTCTGCCCTTACCCAGAGGACTACTACCAGGCCAAGCCCCCTGCATACCAACATCAGGGTAACCCCAAGGATGATGGCTACATGCCCATGATGCCTGGTGTGGTGCCAAAACGGAGTGCAGACTATGTGCCCATGCAGCCCAAGACCTCTTCAGCTCCCCAACAGATTGTCAGCCCCAGATGCTCCCAGTATGTGGACTCTGAGGGCTACATGATGATGCTGCCCAGTGGTGGCTACTCACCTGTTCAAACCTGTCCCCAGAGCAGCAATGGACGCGTTTCCAATGGCCCATACATGGACATGTCCCAGAACGGTGCGCCTACCCATCGCAAGCGCTCCAACGACTGCCACTGCGCACAAACGCCACCTGATCTCCCAAAGTCTTACAGCTCCTACTTCTCCCTGCCAAGATCTTACAAAGCTCCCTTGCGGGAGAGCCGTGAGAGTGATGAATATGTGCCCATGTGTTCCCCTGCAAAGCCTGCCTATGCAGTGATTGAATGCAGCCGCCGGGTGGTGCCGAGCGGCCCCTCTCCCACTCCTGGGATGCATAATGGTTGCCAGGCGTCCGTCGGGGGAGATGGGAGAGCTGTGCGACCCACACGCCTTTCCTTGGAGAGGCACAACTTCCACAGCTCCCTTATTGTCTGCGAGCCCCCCAGTCCTGGAGAGTACATCAACATTGACTACGAGCAGAAGGCCTTGCACACACCCTGCTCCCTGTCTGCTGAGGGCTCCCCATCATCCTTGGGCTCCAGTAGCGAGCAGCGCCGCTCCCCACTTCCGGATTACATGAGTCTGGACCTTGATAATGCCTTTCCCAAAGGGTGCTCCCCACAGCCCATGCCAGTAGCCCCCAGGAACCCCACTGACTACAGTTTGCCCCAAGCATCCACTCCCAGCAGTGGGCGGACGGATGACTACACGGAAATGACCTTTAACCTGGGTGGGGAGCCCAGCAGCCCTTCGGCCTTGGTGAAGCAGCTTCGGATTATTGAGCCCTACCCTGCCCTGCCAGCCTTGAGCCCCCCTGTCGAGCCCAAGGTCATCCGAGCTGACCCCCAGGGCAGGCGGCGACACAGTTCGGAGACCTTCTCCTCCTCTCCCAGTGCGCCCAGCAGCGCCCCTCAGTCCAGTGCCCTCCTGATGGATGGCAGCAAGCGACACAGCTCGGCCTCCTTTGACAGCGTCTGGCTCCGGATGGAAGGTACGGGCTCCCTGGAGGTTGCGGGGGACGTGGGGTGCAGCTCCAGCAGCAGGATGTGTCGCAACACCTCTGCCGGCTATCAGAACGGCCTCAACTACATCGCCCTGGACCTCCGGGAAGACCCCCAGGGCTGCTGCGACCTGGTGTCCCCTTCTGTCCCTCCTCCACCTCCTCTGGCTGAAAGCGGAGCTTACGCCAGGATAAAGTTCCCCAAGTCCGATGGACTGACCGCTGCCTCAAAAGGTTGGTTATGTTTCTGTGTCCCTTTCCGCCAGAGACGCAGGGAGGAACACCTGAGTTGAGTGTGTTGGGGGGAAAATTTTTAAAACGAGGCAAAATTAGGAAAAAAAAAAATGGAGCGAGGGAAACTGAAGTTGGGAATCTGAACCTGGTGTTCTGATAAATATTTTCTCGAAGGTGCAGCGAGGCTTTGAAACATCAGAAAAAAAGTTTCAAAGTATCATTATAAGGCGTTTTTCTTATTTCTTCACCTTTTTGAAAGCAGGTTTGAAGTCAAATTCTAGGGTACACGTGCCTGGATTTAGCTTATGAGTCAGGTGCTTCCTGGTAGCTGGAAATGTCAGGGTTCTAGTAACTGAATGTGTCTTCGGGGAATGTTAATGACTGACTTTCACTGTAGCAACTGACCAGCAGCTTCTCTGAGAGGAAGGAAGGAAGGATCTCTAGGAAGCGATAATGTGTAGACTGTACACAGCCTGTGTTTGCAGGCAAATGGTTTTCATTAACACATTTACCAGCAGTCATGTGGTGAAGGATTTGAACTAGCCGCTTATAAGCGGGCTTCCGGTGTTTTATCCGAGTTCTCCTTTTATAGTTGTTCAGTAGTCTGGGCTCAGGAGTGCCGAGTTTAAACTCTCGATTTGTGAGCTTGATCTGGTGAAGAGGGGTGTACTAGAACAATATGCCACACGTAGAACCGTAGTGCTCGGAGGGAAACGGAGTTGCAAGTGAGCAGTGATGAGTGAGATGTGATGCTGTTGACCTGTTGTTCTTTTCCCATCTTGCCCAGCCTCTGAAGTGGGGAGCTGTAAAACGTATTGCGCGATGGCCCGGCTGTCGAATGAACGGAATGTTCCGAAATGTGTTGTATGCTTGTAATGAGCCTTGTTTTGTTTGTTTTTTTTGTTTTGTTTTTCCTTATTTATGATGTATCTGAACATGGCGAGTTACTATTTCTCTTCTGCAAAGCTGGTACTGGTAGATATGAAATGTAACTTGCTTTGTAAGCGTCTGGAGCCCTTTTTTGTGAATGATGAAACTGCAGAAGTGTTGTGCTGCGCACCTGGAGTTTAATCTGCGGGCCGACTGAATGTGTTATTAGTAAGCAAACCCTGGAGCAAAAACTGTGTTGATGTACCGAGTGCTGCACCGTCATTAGACTTATCCAGCCATTTTTTTTTTCCTGTTCTCTTAATTTGAAACCCTGGTTTATTAATTAAAAACAAGAATAAACAGGGAATCAAAATACAGTCATAAGACTCCACTGCTACTCTCTGAAGAAGATGCTTGTTTGAGGTTTTATGATTTGTCTTGGCTGCTTATTCCTGTAGGAAAATGGACTGCTGTATGAGGAATGGGAGTTTGTTGCTACCATTAAAAGGAAACATCACTGTCAAGTTGTCGCAGTATCTGATTAATCTTCCTAGCCTTTCTCTGATCCTTTTGAGTGTTTTTTCCTGTGTAGATGCACCTTGCTTATGTAGAAAACACAATAAAACTTTACCTATCTTGCACATTGGCCAGGTCAATACCTGAGCAAAGGAGTCATGCCTTGTATGACTACTGCGATAAGTGAATTGATTGCCATAAGCAATGGACTTGTTGGCCCAAAGTTTTAAAATGATTTAGGGGTCAGAAATGGATCAGTCTGCGCTTGGGGCCCATATCCACACAGTAACACACTGCAGGAGGATTAAAGGCTAATCTCTAGAATTTACTTAATTCTGTCTCCACGCCTCTCTCATAAAGTGCACCTGAGCACATTGTCCAGGTGGCAAGAGTGCTGTTCCTGAGTGCGTCTCAAGACTCTCCAGAACAGTACGCAGGGCTGGACTCCTCCTGATATTTTGCTCTGTATTTCTAATAACTTGCAATACTGCCTTTTGGAATTTGTTCCTCCTGACCTTTTTAACTGAACAAGCAAATTGCCTGAGTGGGGGGGGTGGAAACATGATTTTCTTCTCAAAAGTTGAACTTAAGTTCCTTATAAAACGGTAGTTAAAAGGCAGCCTCCTACGTGTTTAAGAACTTGATCTTAATTTTTGACTAAAGAGTTTAAATTAATCCTATTAACAGGTTAATTAAGGGTTGAGTTGTATAACTGAGGGTGGTGAGGTGGCATAGTGATTAACATTACTGCTGTGCAGCACTGGGGCCCTGGGTTCAGTTCTAGCCCTGAGGTGCTATCTGCATGTTTCTGTGGGTTTCCTTTGGGTGCTCCTGTGTATGGCACCTTGCGCCCATTGCTTGCTGCTCCCCTGTGACCCTGGATTGGGTAAAGTGGATTGAATGATTATATAACGGAGTTGTGCTGGAACAAAATGCAGCTCCTACGTGAGTCTCCAGAACTGGGGGAGCCACTGTTCTTGTTCACATAAAAATTACAAGGATTTAGTGTCATTTGAGATTTGGGAATAATTCAATGGTTTTCCACAAGCAAAAGTTGGATCTATATATTGGTAGTAATAAAGGTGGAATTGCCAAATGAATGGGCACATGCTGGGATGCTTAGTTGATGTTGAACCTGAATCGGCATGTTTGATTAAAATGTCACTAAATGTATTTTCCTGCAAGATATAAGGGAAATATAAATTTCATCACTCCGTTCGGTAATTTCTTATCTTTTGACCCTTGTGTTTTAATGGGGTTAACCTTGGGGAAAGAACTGGCTTTCCTCTCTGTTCTAGACATTCCTGTTTCATTGTCAATTTCTTGAGGATCTTTCGGAGAGAATGCAGCTTTTTAGGTCTTTACCAGCATGCCAGGCACTTCAGTTCAGTACGATGTAAGCTTGCATTCCTCCTATAGCTGCCTTTATAGTGAGAATATAGTGTCATCAGCAAACATCTGACTGCTTGAAATAAATAGTCATGATTTTTCCCAGGTTTTCTATGCCCCTGTTAGGTTGTCGGGCTTGTCTGGCGTAGCAGTAGAAGAAGGAAGCTTGCCCGTCATCACCAGGAGTGCTTAACTGTTACTTCGCACCCTTGTAGAACATCTGAAAATAAAGAGGATTGGCCCTGCTCTTTATTGACTTTTTTTTATATGCCATAAATCTGCAAAATAGTCTTTCTCTTCAGGGTAAATGATCATGGGAAAGAAGTAAGTGTCTTTGAAGCAGGGAAGTGGGTATTAGTCATTTCTTGGTGAGATGAATAGAGGCAGAGTTAGTTTCTGTTTTTTTTGCAGTCTTTCCCTTTTCTCCTTGCAGCTGCTACCTGGCCTGCTCCGCAGCGTGAGGAGCACTTGTAAATTGAGTGCGCTTCATGCCACTGCCGTACCTTTTTAGAACAATCAGGATCCTGCCACTCGGGGGCTTAGAGAGCTCTTAAGCATTGGCTGCTTGGGAAGCGATGAAGCAAGCCGGCCAGTTCCAAGTAGGTTAAACGTGTGCCGCTCTGTTTGAGTGCTTCCTGGTGCGGTGTCATCTGGAAGCCATTCATTCAGCGAAATGAACAGGTGTTGGAAACTTCAGGGCCTTGATCAGTGGGATGTTGGCGAGCTTGCGGTACTCTAGTTCGTGAAGGACAATCGCAAACAAACTCCCCCCAAACCCCCCCCTGTTTTGAAATGGGGTATTTGATTTTTTTTCCTCCCACCAGAGAACTGGACTTGTGAATCTGTGTGAATATTGGTAATATGCAGTGCTCTTTAAAAGTTTATAAACACCATGCAGTGTAAGGAGAGGCTGGGGTACGGAACAGTTTTGTTCATTCTTAGCCAATTCCCGATTCACCGATATATGCATCACTGTCCCATTAACGTCTTTAATAAATGGCTCTACGGGCATCGGTGTCTAGCTGTGGTGGCACCCCAGTCTGCAATTTTCCGAGTAAATGGGATGAATGTATGTAAGAGTTTGCACGTTGATAATGCAGTGGGATTTGACACGAGTTAATCTAATGTTCGTTTAGTCCAGTTTACAGATACCAGGATTAATGGTAAACTGAAACGGAAGGTACTGCACAGCACTGTGTGGTTCACCTGTATAGTGTAGCTAGGCTAGACACTACAGCCCATGAAAAATGGCACCCCCCAGAAGCCCTGTACAGGCTTTTGTAAAATCAGCGCTGATTTTATGAAATTTCAGTAGTCCTAGCTTGCCTGTTCTCTTGGCAGTTCAACCAGGGAAAAACTTCATGTTCTAGTTGAAGTGAAACACAAAAATATGCCTATATGAGTACTCTGAAAGGCTGTTCTCTTCACTGTTCAAACTCGGCTTGGTAAGAAGCTTGATCCATTGGGTTGCGATCTCCCAGTCCAGAGATGCATTTGTATACAAATGCATACAGTTATAAACAAGAGAGGTTATTCAGGCCATCCAGCTCATGCATTTTTTTTTGTCGTAATTGATCGGGTCCAGGCGTTTCTTGGAAGTGGCTGCAGTATCAACCTCATCAAATGTTTCTGCTTGTGGAAGGACCCTGTGATCCCCTTATGGTGATTCTTGTTCGGGACTTAAAAGGTTCAGCTCTTTTAGTCTGTTAGTGAAGGATATCCATTTAAGCCCAGGAATATGCCTGGTTCGTCTTATCTGGGATGATTCCAATGTGGTAATTTTTTTATAATGTGGTGAGCACATTTCACAGTATTCTAAATGAAGTTTTACTAGTCTGAAGTTGGATTGCATCATCCTGTTTTGAATATTTTACATCTTATCTGTTACCTCCGTTTCCCGTGAACTAATTCTGAATTCACATAAGTGCATTACTGTCAATGCCTATTTCCTGTCCATTGAGAGTTTTTATGACTTGCGTTATCAAAAACGTTCTGAAAATCTACCCATATCATTCTGTATGACCATTACTGATACTGCTTGTTCAAAGAGCTCTAGAAAGTTAATTAGGTAACCTTCCTTTTCTAAATCCATGTTGATTGTCACATAGAGTCCATTACCAGACAGATGAACCTCATTTACAGTCCTAAAATGAAACTGTGTGGTGCAATACTGTAATGGGTTTGTGGCAGTGTAAGTCTCCTGTTGATATAAAACTAGAATTAAA